CAAAATTCTCAGTGAACAGCCAATTCCATTAGTTGTGATGTCAAACCAAAACAGAATATACTAGTATACAGAAAATTATACAGAAAAAGGTGGCGCAGTGGTTAGGGTGCAGTACTGCAGGCCACTTCAGCTGACCGTTATCTGCAGTTCAGCGGTTCAAATCTCACCGGCTCAAGGTTGACTCAGCCTTTCATCCTTCTGAGGTGGGTGAAATGAGGACCCAGACTGTGGGGGCGATATGCTGACTCTGTAAACCGCTTAGAGAGGGCTGAAAGCCCTATGAAGCGGTATATAAGTCTAACTGCTATTGCTATTGTTCAAATCTGTTATCACAGAAATGTATATCTGCTAATTGCTCTCATTTCTTTAGATATTTTTATTTTCAATATTCACAGCCAAAGTATTGGATGCCAAGAATTTAAGGCACATGTTGCACATTACATACATACATTACAGAGGCAATATATTTCTAGATCCCAAAAGATCTTCCCGAAATATCTGATCATGGAATAAGCTGCTTAAAGAGATGGCAATATAATCATCCATTGTTCTAATCTATCTATTGGTTTATTTAAGTAAGCTTTGTCTTAATACATTATTGTGTTTATATTCCACCTTCTCTCGGGAAGCTAAAGATTATACATGAGGAACTCTCCTAGCTGGATTCTCGCAGTAATAGTCCTGTAAAAGAGTTAGGCTGACCAAGAAAGAAACTGGCTGAAGACAGGAAGATATGAAGTTTAGTCAAGACTAATGTTGTATGAAACCAATTTCTGTCTTGTTATGTTGATGGGCATTGCAACACTGATTGCCACTGCCACAGGCATCTGCAGAGTCATGATGACATCAGGTAGGCCACAATGCTATCACGTAAGTTATGGAAAAGGCACAACTTGTTCATTTGTGTAATGACGTCATGATGCACAAGACGTCACCTCCTCCCTAATGAATACTCATGGCTGTTGATTAAATGCAGAACTGAATTTATATCAGACTAGTATATATATATATTCTCATATATCATATCTGGAGGCAAGGTAACACAACATAGATTCTTACCATCAAATTCAGCCTGTCCAACACCCACAATTATTATAGACATTGGAAGTTTGGCAGCCTGAGAACCATCAGGAAACAAGTAAGCATAGAGCAGGACATGCAAAATGGAGATGGGAAGAAGAAACAAAGAAAGAGCCTGAATTTAGAACAGATAACTATAAAGTAATACGGAGAAATCTGAATTAAATAAATCCAGAAGTCCACTCCCGCCCTTCATGCAGACGGAATAGCACAGTCAACTTGCTGGCTGTACTCAATTCATCATAACGTCTTCACTGCTTGGCTCCACATCCCTCTGTGCATGGAGGGCTGAATTTATTTATTTTATATATATTGATCAAATTTACATTAAATTTAATGCAATTCATCTGGGTGGCTTGCAGCAGGATAAAAGGATAATTCAAAATGACTAAAAATTTAAAACAATTAAATAAAGACTAAAAATCAAGAGGCGGAAGTATTGCAAGAGTACAAAAAAAAAATTCATAGTGATACTCTGTGTTTTCCAGTCTGCCTGAGCTTGTCCTTAACACACAGTCCTATTATCAAATTATCTAACTCCTTTCTCTTCCCCTTCAGCAATCAGCGACTGTTTTTGCTGTTAAACGCAGAAGTGGCAATAATCAGTGCTCTTTGCTATAACAAATCTCTGCCAATGTTGAACAATGGACTGCAGCAACAATTTAATCAGGAGCACACTCATCACTCATCACCACTGGAATCAAAAGCAGAGCACATGGCAGCGTCCTAATGGCTGGAAACAGAAGGGCAATGTTGGGGGGTGGGGGGTGGAGATTGCGCACAGAAGCAAATGCTTGCATAACAAAGAACTTTGTTTATTCATACGGCCCAGCTGATCTTCAAATCCCCTCTGGGAAATCTGAGTTCCAGGTTCATTGGAGCCATGGGAAGAGTACCGTAGCTTTGGGCAAATGATTTTTCTTATTCCTTCCCATTATTTCTGTAGTGACCTCTTTCCTTTGCTCCCACAACATACTAAGGGCCACATTCTAAATGTGGACAGGGCCAAGATACATTTGGAGTGAGGTGACTTTGAAAAGAGTGCTTTAAACTTTTGCTTACATGCCCCATTTGGCAGAGCCTCCTAAAACTAATCCAAACCCCAACCAAAATAAAAAAGACGGGCTGTGAGTGTAGACCAGGGGTCGGCAACCTTAAACATTCAAAGAGCCACAAAGGTCCTAACCGGAAGCCTCCCATTCAATTCGGGAGCTGACCAGAAGTTCAGTTCCTCCACTTCTTAATGCAGCATCCTTTTTCTAACCAAAAGCCCTATCAATTGTGGAGCCAACCAGAGACAGGGAGCCACAGCAGAGGGATGAAAGAGCCACAGGTTGCCGACTCCTGGTTTAGACCTTCTCCATGATGCAGTCCTCAGAAAGAATACTAGCAAGCCTTTTCTTTTCTTTTTCTTTTGCTGTATGATTTGAGACTGACTGCTGCTTATCTACTTTGGCACCCCATGGATTAGATGAGGCTAAACATCTGGTAGAATAAAGCATGGGGAATGTGCTTTGTTGAACAGCAGCCTCAGCTAGCACGGCCACAGAGGTGGATGTTGCAGCTGAGCATCATCTGAAGGGCTACAGATTTTCTCTTCCTTGTGAAAGTATTACCAAGACAATCCTGTAATGCACTGAGCACTTTATGGCATGATGAACACATTAGTTAAAAGCTAATGCATTGAATATGGACTTCGCTTGATGTCCATCCATTTTGGCTTGTAAACCGTGGCTTCTTTCTTGTAGGCTGGCATTATGTACGAATGAGGCAAATGAATTCTAAGTAGTGGCCTAAGAAGGATCTTGTCGCTTTTGTTAGACTAAGGAAAGAGACAAGCTTGATCTCTTTGGGGCATGTGTGCAACATGACATCACAACACATGTAAGAAAGAGGAAAGGCTAGTTTTGTGATACCACAATGCTCTTTTTGTCAGAGCGACCTACTTTGCCTCTTCCTGTGGATGCCACTGATTCTAAATCTGATTGTAAATGCTGTATTAATGCTGTATTGGAGGGAACCAAAAACCAGTTGCCTAGAGAAAAGAATATATACACAAAATCAGAAAGGGTCATTTAGTACACTGAGTCCAAGATTGTTCAATACAGGAATTCCAATGAAAGCATTCCCAACCAATGGCTTTCCTGCCTCTGCACTTCCTCAGGGTTTCCCATATTTAGCAAAAGAGGCAGTGTCTATGATTCCAGTTAGGGAACATTCAATAGATTTACAATAGGGAACACAGGAATATGCTGTGGCTGCAAGATTATACCTTTTACTGGGGATAGCAGTAAATTCCAGGTGCTCAGCTTATTAATATGCTATGCTGCTGAATTGAAGCCATTTTTTCCCCACCAGGCACATATAAGAATATGTCTGTTATTTGACAAAGCTGAAATCAGGCTGCTCCATTCCCCATGTGAGCTACTCACATTGACAATTGCTTCTTTTGTCTGAGCCATGTCTGATATCACACCATCCGTGATGATCAGCAAAACGAAATACTGGGAGCCATCCTGCACAGCCGAGGCATATCTGATTTGGGAGGAAATAATATTGAATGCAGGAAGATATAGGTTCCTAGTGGACCTCTGAATCCTGAACTGAACACAAATGGTGCAATTAACTGCATCAAATTGTAATCTTACAAGCATTAGTAGAAATAATTCGTTTCTCAAAAAAGTGTCCATTGCATTTTTTCCTGTAACTGTACAAATCAGGAAGGTCTGTAGGATTCTGGGTATATTATGAGAGGGATTTGCTTATGTTAAGTGTAATGAGTGGTGCACAGAGGTGGTATTTAGTCAGTTCTGACAGGTTCTGGAGAACTGATAGCAGAAATTTTTGAGTAGTTCTGAGAACTGGAAAATAGGCTGGCCCCGCCCCCCCACTGCCTCCCAGCTGATCTTCTTTTGTTGCCCTGCACATGAGAACGGAGCTAGAAAGCAGGTTAGTGGGATGGGGACGGAATGGGGATTTTGCAGTAACCTTCCCTTGCCATGCCCACCAAGCCACGCCACACCCACAAAACCATGCCCACGGAACCAGTAGCAAAAATGTTTGAATCCCACCATTGGTAGTGCATATTCACTGGATGTTCATGATAGTTGAAGTTGAGGGATGGGCTTGAGGCATATTAGGATGGATATAAGGAAGGGAATGTTGTTTGCTTCCAGGATGATGCAATGGGAAATAGCCTAGGATTTTGATAGGCAGCGGAAGAGTGGGGTCCTGATGTGATAGTATGTGAAATATTCACAGTGATGAGGAGTACCTGGATATACTCAGATTGCCTTTGTGTGGAATTAAGTAGCAAAGCCAAGCTTGGGCTGCTGATGTAGACAGACCATCTAAACACCAACCCTCTATTAATTTCTGGCTGTTGTCTTGGGATTGGTGTAGGAGTTTCCCCAGCTTCCATGGGTGATTTCAATCCTACATGCCCTGGAGGACAGTCCATCTAGCTTGTGTGTACCAAGATAATCATGGGCTCGTCACACAAAAATGGGGCCACAACAGGTATGGGTGGACATGTTTGACTTGTTTAGGAGCAGATAAGATGTCATCTGAAAAGGAAGCACAATGATACCTGTCCTGATCATAGTCAATTCTCTTGCCTATCAGACTGAATATCATGACATTGTGGACCTCCAATTGATTTTTTGAATGCAGATTGATTTCCGATAAATGTATATGTACATCTGTGACCATCTCCAATTCAGAGTTGTTCTGACTATGTTCTGTCACTTGGCTATGCTCCTTTCTACATTGCAATCCTAATAAATACAGAATGCAAATCCATTGAAATTGTCAGTTTATATGGTTTCTGGCTTGTAAAAACGAATGGTATGAATTTGTGTGCCTGCTTTATTGGCAAGAAGCTTTCAATGTCATGCTTCATAAAGTATTTTATACTTGTATGGACCTACCCAGCCACATGGTTGACCACTGGTGCAAAGTTAGTTGGACCATAAAGCTGCACAGTCTTGAGGCTCTGGTGATACGCTTCAAGGATTCCTTCTATTCCACTACAGTGAGGATTGTCACAGTTGCCATTCTGAAAACAGAGAAATGGGGACACAACTAAAGGCAATCTCCAAGCAGAGGCTGCATCTTAACATTTTCCTTTGGCTGCTTAAATCCTTCCACTTGCCATTAAATATCCCTTTCATCTAATGATGTAGCATAACAAAGATAAAAAATGCTAGGCAGCAGGATGGTTACTTATGAATAACAGTTTTCTCTAAAGACCCAGTTATGAAACGTATGTTAAAAGACAGTTGAGCAGCTTGGCTTCCTTCTTAAAAGAAAGAGCATGTGACTGCTCCAGATCAGGATTTTATTGAGACTGGTTAGGAACTTTATCTTTGTGGCTCTCTACTGCAGCTTTGATCTATGACTGAGTGTATTTCTTGCAATTCGTATCTTATCTCTCTCTCCCAGCATGTTAGATTGCACCACATGCATGCATTTTTGCACATGGACTATGAAAAGACAGAACTATTGCTAGCTCTGTCTAAGTAATGCATGTATCCTTAGATTTATCATGAAGGACTCCCTGTTGGAAGCAAAGATTAAGCAGATGCAACTGAAGCTGCCTCTCAGGGGTTTTAAAGGGATAGCAATAGTAGTGAAGACATTTTTCTTGGGATGAGGGTTCATCCTGATTTTACAGATACACTAGCTTTTGTTATTATAACCCTCAAGGCTTTAACTCAGGAGTGGGCAATCTCTGACTTTTAGATGCTGAACTATAGTATTTAGCTGGGCCTGCTAAAAGATGTAATGGGGAAGAATTGGAAGCCCATAGGCTTTTTTCAAACTGCCCAAAGAGCTGCTGATTCAGTTCTACAGAGGAATTATTGAGTCTGTCATCTGCACCTCTATAACTGTTTGGTTTGGCTCTGCAACCAAACAAGACAGACACAGATTTCAACGGATAATTAGAACTGCAGAAAAAAACAATTGTTACCAACCTGTCTTCCATTGAGGACCTGTAAACTGCACAAGTCAAAAGGAGAGCTGTGAAAATATCTACAGACCCCTCACATCCTAGACATAAATTGTTTCAACTTCTACCCTCAAAATGACACTATAGGGCTCTGCACCACAACAACTAGACACAAGGACAGTTTTCCCCCAAATGTCATCACTCTGCTAAACAACTATTTTCCACAACACTGTCAAATTATCTACTAAGACTGCATTACTATTATTCTTCTCTTCCTTCCTAATACCTATCTCTTTCCACTTATGACTATAACCATGTTGCTTGTATCTTTAAATTTTATATTGTTTTATTTGCTTCCTAGTATAATTTGATTGCTTAGTAGTAACCTATAACTATCACTAAGTGTTGTATCTTATGATTCTTGATGAATGTATTCTATTTTATTTTTCTTTATGTACACTGAGAGCATATGCACCAAAGACAAATTCCTTGTGTGTCCAGTCACACTTGGCCAATAAAGAATTCTATTCTGTTCTGTTCTGCTTTATTCTACTCTTGTAAGTAAATTCCAAGCTCCTTGAAAAGTGAGGCCATGGCCAAGGAAAGCAAGACTACCCAGTGCCAGCCGGCCTGTTCATTTATCCAGGAGCAAGGAGAAATAAACCATGCAGAAAATGGGGCTTATTCCCTAGTCAGTGTGTTTAGGATTGCAGCTTAAAAGATCCGTTGATTCTACTTTCAATGAGGCAAAGTCTCTGCCAACAGGATCATATGGCATTTTGCTCTCTCCAGAAAAGGCATCTCAAAATGTGACACATTGGACTTCTCTGCCTGGCACTTGATCTGATCTGAAACAAAGCGTCCCTCGGGAGCTGTTTTCTGAATGCTGGTGTGACTCAAAGTGTCAGTACCAAGGGGAACTCATGAGACACACGCCCGTCGGGGGGAATCTTGGCTCCAAACCCAAGTGCTGGGAACATTTTATCACTGTCATAGTCCTGGATGATCTCCCCAACAGCCTTCAGTGCCATGGCATACGCATTGAGCTGGTATGGATTCATATAATGAAGGGAGGTAGACTGAGAAGGATTGCCTGCAGAAAATGAGAGAGAGGGAGAAAGAGGAAGAATCCGAAGGAGGAATAAAGAGAAGGAACAGCAGTGAATTCATTGTCTGGGAGCCAGCTGCATTGATGAAGTTTGCTTAAGGTCAACAACAAAAAAAACCTTATCTGGAGTGCTGTAATTGGGAACCTCTCCCTGAGGAACTTCACCTGATGCTACTACATTATCTTTCAGAGCTGGCAATCAAGACATTTTCATCCTCTCAAGCACTTCAGCGGTTGGCATTTTAAGTACTGAAAGGATGTTATATTTTAAATACGGAAACTGGAATTTGCATTGCTGTTTGGATTAGAATTGAATCTGCTATTCAGTTGTATTGCTCTACTCTGCCTGTCCTACTGATTTCAACATTATGCAGGCCCAAATGCTCTAAACAATTAAAACACATCGGGCCAATTATACACACCTTATATACTTGAATTGTCATGTACTCTCTACAGTAATCTGCAATTATTTTCAGAGTTGCCTTAGGAAAATCTATACAGCGCAGCCTATACAGCGCAGTCAGTCATTTTTATATTGCTAACTTTCTATGGCAAGGGAAAAAAGATAGTAGAAACACAGAAAGATCTATAAGGCCTAGAAGTTAGAAGAGGTAGAAATTGTCATTACTATACAGGTAGTCCTCACTTTACAACAGTTCATTTAGTGACTGTTTAAAGTTACATCACTGAAAAAAGTGACTTATGATCATTTTTCACACAATCATTGCAGCATCCCCATAATCACTTGATCAAAATTCAGACAGTTGGTAATTGGCTCATATTTACGAAGGTTGTCATGTCCCAGGATCATGTGATCTCCTTTTGCAACCTTCTGACAAAGTCAGTGGAGAAGCCAGATTCACTTAACAACTGTGTTACTAACTTAACAACTGCAATGATTCACTTAACAACTGTGGCAAGAAAGATAGTAAAATGGGGCAAAAATTACTTAACAAATGTCTCACATAGCAACATAAATTTGGGGCTCCATTGTAGTCATAAGCCGAGGACTACCCTGTATCTAATGAACATCTAATGAAATTTCATGAAAGAGACAGCAGGTGGCGTAATAAGTCTTATCTTGCTATATTGAAATATTCTTGAATCTGCTTAACAATTCAGCGATCTTATCTATAAGTACGAGCAGACGTGCGTTGTGTGCATGTACAAAAGAGAGCATTAGCTTGTTTATGCAGCTAAAATAAGGAAAGTTCTTGGCAATGGTTTTGCAAGGCACATATTCACATCTTTTACAATGGTATATGAATCACTAATTTTGCTCACCTCTTCTAGTTTTGTCCCTGAACCCAGTTCACAAACATCAGTACAAACGGAGAGGCCACATTCCTGTCTAAAGTGAACTGAGCCTGATTTTTAAAGCAAAAAGTGACGAGAGAAGCTGATTTTGCCCTTTTCTTTATTATCTCACCACACTTTTCCAGAGTTACCAACTGAAGCTTGCTTCTAGCATGAAATAGTTTGCTTTCTCATTTGATACTTAATTTGATGCCTTTACAGGGCAGGCAAAGCAATCTGACCTTATGTTACAAAGCTCAGAATTAAAGAAGAATCAGCTTCAGAAGTTTCCATGGGTTTAGAAGAGATATGCAAGATTGGATCACTCCCTTGAGAGGAGAGGGACAAAGTCCATATATTCTATAACCCCTTAGATAGCTTTTCTGAGGTCACCCTAGGTTATGATCTTATGAATGGTAGCTTCCTGGGGAAAGCTACCATTGAACATAATAGGCACTTTTATGCAATATGCTTAGGCTTAAGATTTAATGACTTTAATAAAAGTATAATGATCCAATTTTATTTTTAAACACTAGCAAATTGTATAAGCAAGTAACACATTAAATACATAGCATACAAACAACAATGAATAAATCAAAACTTACCATTGGAAGCTGTGAAATCAATGGCCACTGTGAAATTGATCTGTGTCCTGGAGGGGAAAAAAATCACAATATCATCATTTAGGCTGTAATTGTGCAATCTACAATTGTAAATTATTTAGTAAATTATTTAGCCTTTGAGAAAAATGAAATCCAGAGTTGTTGGAAACTACATCCTCAACTTTCCTTCAAGTATTATCTTTATTCCAATAATTGTGTTTTTCAATAATTAATTAGAATAGTAAACTGAGAGGCAAAAGGACAAGCATAAAAAAATGGACAGAGGGATGCATAACTAAAACAGAATACCAGCAAAGAGTGCTAATCTGCAAGGATACAGTCAGGAAAGCTAAAGCTCAATTTAAGACTTACACAACAACAACAACAACAACAACAACAACAAATAATGAAATTTATGCCAGCTGAACCATCACCCGGATTAACAAGGGTTCTGTTGGATGCTATGGCTCCTGGGCAATCTGTGCAAAATGAACTACAGGGCTCAGCTCCCTCTGCTAGGCAACCAGGGCATGGAGCTTACAAGCTACTTGAAGAAAAAGTGAAAAAGCGAAAAATCTGGACTAGGGAAGAAAACATCTCTATTATGAAAGCTTACTATCAGTCTGAGCCAGCAAAACATGGATTTCAAAAATGAATGTCTCAGATTTGGAAGATGAACCAGACGGACTGTGATATCAGTGAACAAAGGCTAATGGACCAACGGGGTGTAATCCTGAGCCACAAATTTTTCACTACAGCAGAATTAATAGGAATCGAAGAGAAAGCAACTAATAGTGTGAGTATACCAACAAAGAAGAGTAACGTCAGTAATGATTTGCAGACTCAAAAGCAAACTGAGGAAGAAAGGGAGGAAGAGGATGCTGAAATGGATAAAGATAAAGAATAAAAAAGCACTGAAGAACAAACACCAACAGATATTGCTCAATTAGCTGAGAAAATA